CTCTCCATGTTCGCCTTGTACGTGCTCTTGTATGGGCAGAAAGTACAGGAGAAACAGTTCGCGTTGTGTGGATTCATTTTGCAAGAGAACTGCATGTGCTTCTTTAGCAAATTCTTCGGCGCGTAGAATTTCTTGCAGTGAAGACACAGATATCGCTTGTTATTCACGTCAGTGCGCAAGTTCCATCCGCTGCTGCCTGAAACAGACGAAGGAAGCTACGATGTAGCCGTGCTCGCCTCACAGGGACAATCGCAAACAATCGTCCGCGTAAAGCTGGTTCTAACATTCAGTCGCATCGCAACGTCGCAAACATTGCGAGCCAATCAACTAGCTCGACGCCGATTGGATCACAAGTGGATCGCAACGTTTGCGACGCTAACTACGACTAATGTAGAACCAACTTAAAAGGGACCTACGATTGTCTGATCGCCATGAACTGTCACGTAGCGTGCAACCGATCGGTAGCGACCATACGTTACACAATTGATTAGGCCACTTTTTATATTAAAAGTTCAAACATTGCAGCCTCGATTTAAACAGTCTCAGCTTTTGCGTAAGATAAAAATAAAGACATTGATGTGAAAACGTGTACACAGCACAAACACGTCGCTGCTAAGCTTAGAATCTTATCCACTTAACATTCTCTCTTTTCTTCTTGTGGGCATTATATATGAGACCTAAATTTCGCCAGAGTACAAATCGAAGCAAAGATTCAGGCAGATATGCAGAAATCTCTGACAATTGTCAACTTTAAGAGAACAATAGACCTTAATTGTTTAATTATCAGTAATATCAGTCCCTATGTATGTATGTATTAAGAGAAGGGTTGCCTCTGTAAAATATAAATAGGTACTAAAACAACAACAAAAAATCGAAATCAAATGAAGGAGGATTTGAAAAAATGTCTACATAACTCATTAAAAATCGCTCATCCACTCTTTATAACATATTTTTTATAATTCTTTATAATATACTTAATTGAACTTGTAGTCTGTCAGAAAATGCACATTAATGTCTAGTAGACTAGACTTCAGACATAGGCGTCAAATAACGTTTAACACACGTTTCGATTGAGGACGTATCATATTTCACATCGCGAATTTCATTTCGCAACGTGTTTCGAGGTTGGGCCATTCGCGTAGGAGATCGGGACGTGCGTTTCCTCTACGTTGCTGGGCTACTGCGGATGCACGGCCCGCATATGCCTGAAGAGAACGTCCTTGCGGCTGGTCTTGTATCCGCAGAAATTGCAGAAAAGCATGGGCGGCGTGCCGCACACAGTGCTGAGATGACGCTGGAGGGTCGCCTTCCACGTGTAGCCCTTTCCACATTTCGGGCATACAAAAATGGGCTTGCCCACGTACTCCCCGAAATCCTCGGATTGCTGCGCTGCCGGACCGAATCCTACAAATTAGACGTAAGAATGTTAGAATGGTCAGAGATCACCTTCGACATTATTGTGGAGATCTTTCGACGTTCTCCGATAAGATTTGGCGAAACGCGCGGGGAAACACAGCGAGATACAGCGACGATATCACGTTGTGCACGCGAACGTCGAATTGATCTCGTTGCGAATTGACTCGTAATATCTGAAATGGAAAACAGGATTTTTACTTTACCTTATTTTCCAATGTGATCAAAATCGACTTAAACTTTGAGAGGTACTTGGGAAATGGAAATTGGAGATATTTTTATTAATACAATTTATTGATAAATAAGAGTATCAGTAGTAAAAATAATCGAGATTAATCAAGAAAATCTCTCTTGCTAGAAAATGCATATCAATTTATTACATCAATACAATTATATCCGATTTTACCACATATTAGTGAAGACAATGAGTTCGACATCCGTTAGAAAAGAAATCTTAATCTACAAATGTCGAAAAGAAAGTAATAATTCTCACATCACTTCTTAACTGTCTTTAAAAATACGTAAGATAATTCAGATATATAAGTATAAAGATAAAACAGTAACAATATTTGCACAAACACATCGTAGAGCGCATAATAGTATGGTATGTAACAAAATTTTAAAAACCATGATATAAACAACAATGTTTCGGGCGAAATATCTTATATAATTATTCTCATAATTGCAACATAAGACATATTTAAATCGAATACAAAAAAATTTTGATTTGATTGCACTTTTATGAATCGCAACCATATTAATACAATTTCATTATAAACAAACTACAATATAACCATAGTGTTATAAATATAATTGCACATGCATAAAATAAATAAGATTTCTTTTGGAGAATAACAAACGTTTTATAGTTTATTTATAATAATTTAACGCACGTAATGTACCATTTAAATTTAACAAATCAATATAATATTTAGACTGTTTTTTTATTACTGTTTTTTAGACTGTTGATTTATTAAAATTGATTAAAATTTAATAACTTAATAATAGAAGAATTAACTGGACGTCTCTTATAATTTTTATTTCTCAAAAATATAGAGCAAAACTTTTGCGAAAATCTCGAGTCAATCTCATCTTAATTTAGTAAAAAAAATCTTACCAGATTAAAATTTGCTTTGTTTTTCTAAAAAGGCCGGGATTATTCGCAAAATATTCGAACGTTCCACATAACCTTTCGATAAAATGGATGTACTTTCGCGAGAGTTCGATTTATCGGAAATATATTATACACGGAATCCTTTCGTCTTATTACGATCAAAATTGAGTTTTCAATGCGTAGATATCTTAATTGACGTGAGGGCATGTTCGCGAACCAAGTGATACTTCAATAGGGTGGGTATCCTGGCTCTGTGGGAGCAGTACGGGCAGGGAAAGAGCGGTTCCATCTGGCAGAAGAAGTTCATGTGTTTCTTGAGGCTGCGCCAGTCGCTGTACCGTTTCCTGCACTTGAGGCATCGCAGCTCGTCCTTGCAGCGTCTCCAAATCTCACGCGGCAACTCGTCGCAGAAGAATCGCAGCTTGGCTGAAACACGATCAGAGTCTCATGTAAGCATAATGACAAACATTCGCGGAACGGAGAGAACAAAAATTGGATTATAATCGGGCTGCTCCTGCTGTATCATCTGACTGAACTTTGATAGTCCTTCCAAATCACCAATATTGACTCGTTACCTTGTTCATTCATATCTGCTAACAAGAGAATTCCCAAGCTGACCGAACATGGTTACTAAGAACAATGCCAAATATCACTCAAGAGCTTCAAAGAAAAAAGAATATGAGTAGAAAAGAGACATCGATTTGGAAAAGCCAATTCAATCTCAATTACTCTCATAAAACTGTAACGCTTCTCTCTACTTAATTTTATATTCGATGTGCTTCATATCTCAAAACACATGGTACATTGCAGACAATGATGCAAATAGATCGAACATGACACATCTCTTATCGATAGGATTTTCGAATTGAGAGAGAGAGAGAGAGAGAGAGAGAGAGAGAGAGAGAAGGA